TGGCTCTTTTGCTGGTCGGGCCAGGTCCGGTGCGGGCACCGACGAAGGGGTCCGGTGCGGGCACTGACAAAGCAGCCCCAGCCCGGATTTTCGGGCCATGCCCGGGCCCGGGCCAGGCTTGGGCCCAAATAGACAGACCTATCTACAGCTAGCTGTCAACAATGCCAAAGGACCATACATCTTTGGCTCGTGGACCTTTTGGCCCACTAAGAAACAAAACAACAATGTTTAAGCTCGATGTTATCTACTTGGAAGGATTAAAAATTTTAATACAAGTTTCAATTACTAAAAAATAAATTAGAAATAATTTTATAACTGTAAATACAAGTTTAATATAATTAAAAATATAAAAAATAGCAAAAAAGTTAGACGAAAAACTCATGGGCCAGCTCACGACCTATAGGCTATGTGCCTAGTGAAACTAAGCCTGCACCTAGACGGGTCGTTGGTCGGGCTGGGCCCAGGTCCAGACCCGGAATCAAAAAAGTAAACCTGACTTACTTTGACCTGGCAGGGGCCAAATCAGACTTGGTCCGGCATTGAATTCAACGAGCAAGGTTCTTAAACTGGCCCGACCCACATCCATCCCTAAGTTGAGCATACAGAAATATTAATATAGTTGTGATTGTGACAGCTCCGTAGCGTCACTTCAATAATGACCATTTACTTTTCGGATATTTTGTCACTATACAAATTAATATGGACGAACTAAAGGATTTAGATATTTAGCTTTCTCTCTGTGTGATTAGTGTTGTATTAGTCTATGTTTTATTTAAGAAAACAATCTACTGCACCGTTATTGTTATGATTGAACAGCTAATTTATCCATTGTTTAGCTACAGTTAAGAGATCCAGAGCGAAACTGAAACAAGGGCTAAGTGCGGATAGACTCCCTCTAGTATCGCCCAATTATAGATAGACCTTTATATTTCTGTGTGTACAAATGTGCCCTAGGTGAATTAGTTTGACAATAGTCAAAAAAAAAATATTGAGAAGGTGGGTAGACCCATTGTAGTTCTACTCGTGAGGCTAGAAAAAAGTTCACTCAGGGTGTCCATACGCACTTGGGCAAATACTATATGAGCTCTATTTACACAAACAGAACTAATGGAGGTCTATCTACAATTGGGTGATAACATAGAAGGCTTATTCACGTTAACTGTATCAGTCACATGAGTGTATAAATAATGCGACCTTAATATGCAGCATTTAGAATTTCAGATCCCTCGATATTTCACTTCGTATTATTGTCTTGGGAAAAATATGTCAAGGCCCCAAAAATAAAAAGAGGATGTGGCCAGGCCCCTCCTATTATTTTTTGGGTGACAAAGCCCCCAATACAATATTCACTTGTGTTTCAGCCCCTATTTAGCTTTCCAACTCAGCACAGTAAAAATATTTGTTCAAAACCCAGAACTGCCCTTAACCCATTTTGTTTCTTATTCTTCTTCTTCTTCTTCTTCACTTCTTTAGCCTCTTAGTTTTTGGGCTTTTCTTTTGTTTCTTTCTTTCTTCTTCTTCACTTCTTCAGCCTCTTAGTCTTCTGAAGCACTCTGGTCATCTTACTTCTTCTAAGACCCATTTCACTTCTTCTTCCTCTTCTCAGTTGAAGGTATGAGTAAACAAGAGGATCTCAATTTTCTCAAGATACAGGTACTTTTATCCCTCTGTCCCTATGTTTTCCTCTTCCTTCTTTTTTTTTTCTTTTTTGTATGATGTTAAATTTTCTCTTTTATTCTATCACATTTTGCTTTTGGCCATGTTTTTTGTTCTACAAGTAATGTTTACATATTTATTATGTTGTTCCCCACAAAAAATGCATTTTTTCCCTCTTTTTTTCTTCTTGGTTGTAAATTTCTCCTATTCGACGCCACCGCCGTCGGCGAGAAACCCAACGACGACATTTCAACAATCCCCGTCGAAGACGAAGAGATCATCGAATCCGTGGTCATGGGTACGACCCAATCTTAATCATTGAAGTCAAAATTAGGAGATTGCAAACGCGCTACAGGTGTCCGATGCGAGGCCTTAAGGAGAATCACCGGCATAAATCTCAACGACCTACCTCTTAATGGGTTCGATTACGCCTCCATCCTCAGCCAGTGCTGTTGGACCCTAGAGGGGGGTGATTAGGGTCAAGAGGCTCTAATATGCAAATTAAAACTCAGCACAAACAAATCACAAAACAG